GTATCTCATCATCTTGATTATGTTCTAAGTACATCTTGTTATCTCATCATCTTGATTATGTTCCAAATACATCTTATCTCATCATCTTGATTGTATTTTTAACTCACCCCTATTATCTCATCATCTTGATTATGTTCGTAACACACTAATGGTATATCATTATCTTGATTATGTTTTTAGCACACCCATGATATCTCACCAGCTTGATTATGTTCGTAACACATTAATAGTATCTCATTATCTTGATTATGTTTTTAGCACACCCATGATATCTCACCAGCTTGATTATGTTCGTAACACATTAATAGTATCTCATTATCTTGATTATGTTTTTAGCACATCCCTGGTATCTCACCAGCTTGATTATATTCTTAACACACCCCTGGTATCTTATTAACTTATTTCTATTTTTTAACACACCTATGCTGTCTTATTTAGTTTAGTTCTGTTTTAACACAGCTGTTGTTTTGTGACTATTTTAACACACACGTAGAATATATCAAACTTAATTCCATTTTAATATATTTTTGTTGCTTTAAGGCTTTTACCTTCATTTATCTCATCAAGTACGGTCTACCTTAACGTGCCCTGCATCTTATTAAATTTATTATCCTAACCTCTCTCCCCAATGTTGTCTTATTATTTACTCTATTTTACCATACCTTTGGTATTTCGTTTAGTCGAGTTTATTTTCATATGCATGTGACCTCTCATTAACTGGTGACTATCAGGTTTTTTCACTAACTCATGAATATTTTAAAACACACCTGACATCTCATTAACTTGAATCAATTTTTAGCTCACCTGGTATTTCATTAAAATGTGACCATTCGCCCAAGTTATCTCATTGCCAACTGAATATGTCTTTAAAAAAGCACGACAGTAAAATTAAATAGAGTTCATGAAAAATATAGTGCAATGAAGTGTCATTAAAAGTTCCATACAAACATTTTTTTTTGTTTTATTTGTGTACAAGCAAGAATCGACATTTCATCTTCTAAGTAGTTATTTGTTTTTGAAAATACAATTTGGCATGGAAATAACGTAGGTATGAAATACAATATGTGTGGTGTTATTTACGATAAAAAGCATCGTATGCTATTAACGTAATGTATTAAGACTTCTTCACGTTGATGTATTTTATTTAACAAAGAATGTTTTTTTCAGATGAGCGGAATTGTCATTTCATTGAAACCTATATAGATATATATTTAAATGCGATAATCCTTATCAGATTATTAAACCTAATCGTCTCTAGAACTCACAATTAACTAGAGAAACTAAAGATCCAGAAAGACAAATGTGGAAGCTCAGTGTATGTACGCAAGACGAAGAAAATTATACAAATATTCATAGTGTAAAATATGAATACGCAATAAATATTTATTCAGTTAACAACTGAATAATGAAATAGATTTAAACATATTAAATTAAAATTGAAAATGAATGATAACTTAAAACATAAGTAACAAGTAACTTTAAAATCGCTGACTGACCATTGCTTTGGGAAAAAATCAAACAAACAAAATACAAGACGACTCTGAAAATTAGAACAAGTCTGTTTTACATGTTAGAAATATTCCTTTAACAAAACTGTTGGTCTTCTGATAATCCAATCATGTTTAATAAATGACGTTCTTACTGCTGCCTGACGTTCAGTCGAGACAAATGCTTCTGTATCATATCCTGAGTTTGAAGTTGTTGAATGTTATTAAGCACAAAGCTACAGAAAGGGCTATCTGTGCTCTGCCCACCATGGGTATCGAAACCCGGTTTCTAGCATTATAAGTCCGCAGACATACTGCTGTGCCACTCGGGGCTAGTTTGAAGTTGATGTGGCCATTCCTGCGTGTAGTGCATTTGATATTCATAGCTAATGCACACACCCCGATTGGTACTACGAAACTGGTGAAACAGCCATCTCGTTTCATCTGTGGTTCAGTAAGAGCAAGAGGATAGTGGTAACACTTCCTCATAGTGAGTCCCGACCATGATAATACTCAACAGCTGGTGGGTCCCCCCGGTGGGACAGCCGTAAGTCTTCGGGTGTACAGTCTAACGTCCGAGGTTCGATTCCCCGCGGTGGACACGGCAGATAGTCCAATGTGGTTCTACTTTCAAACAAATAAATAAATAAACAGGTATTGGGGTCTACTTCTGACTTATCTGGAGCTTAACCTTAAATCACTGAACCTCTGGAGGTTTTGAAGTTGTTGAACCACTGTAATAACTGTTACGTTGTTTTCACTCTTACAATTTACTTGAAATTCCCACCTTAGTTGCATCGTCTGATACACAGTTTTTGTCAATTCAGGATGCCTCTGATTCTAGGAAGTCGCAAAGACTCACTTTGATGATATCTTTATGATATGCCACAGCCACGCTTGGATAAATCTTACTATATAAATGACGTACATATTGAAGACCTCAAGGTTGCCTCAAGGTGGGGCAACAAAATAGGGAACAGTGACCTGAATAAAATTAAGTTCATTCAATTTCTATTCACTCAGTGGATAGGGGTCCACAATCAGAGTGTTTAACATAATGGGGGGTTTCGATTCAAGTTAAGTTTAGAACCCCCTGCTACATTGTTGTATGTGTGTCTGTATATATATATTATATAGTGGTGAAATTATTTAAGTAAGATTACTCATATGTTCACTATATTCTTAACTATTTATCCAGTGCATATTAATGCAGTAACTTATACGTGGTAACCATTCACATTTATCATCATTTATCACTCACATCATTTCATGATGCATCAATTCTGATACTGATACATGTATCATGATTTATTCATTGTGCTGATACATTTGTGATATCGTATCGCTGAAATATTTATGACAACTTATTTATGCTAACTTCTTTCACTCTTACGTTACTAGATTCCTGAAAGCTTATTTATTGTAATAACACGTTTGTGATACCTTTTCACTAAAATGGTACATTTACAATAACTTATTTCCATTCAAGTTGCTACCATATTCGTGATAAATTATCTAAAAAAAGCACTACTGCAATTGATGTAACTTGTATGCCCACTGAACCACATTTTTGCTTTTTTAAGAAATAATGAGTTCATTTGAATAAACTGGGAGACTGTATATTATTAGATGACGGCAGAAATAGGATCCCATACCTTGTTGATAAATAAATTCCCTTTCCCTGAAACCAAATCTACTTTACAAATACTCTGATTATAGATAACCTTGTTGAGTGTTTATCAATATGTATGGATTTGGCCTCGTACAACTAACTACAAGTTACCTACAAAAATTTACTCTGACCTTTGTTTTCATATATTTTTCATTAGTCTTGGGTTAGACAATCATGAACCAATTCCTATGTCTACATCTACTCTCTTGACTATTAAAGGAGAAGAAACGAGTGTTACTCTTGGCTATTAAAGGCGTATAAACGAGTATTAATTTTGGCTATTAAAGGAGAAGAAACTAGTGTTGATCCTGGCTATTAAAGGCGTATAAACGAGTGTTACTCTTGGCTATTAAAGGAGAAGAAACGAGTGTTACTCTTGGCTATTAAAGGTGTATAAACGAGTGTTACTCTTGGCTATTAAAGGAGAAGAAACGAGTGTTACTCTTGGCTATTAAAGGCGTATAAACGAGTGTTCCTTTTGGCTATTAAAGGAGAAGAAACTAGTGTTGATCCTGGTTATTAAAGGCGTATAAACGAGTGTTACTCTTGGCTATTAAAGGAGAAGAAACGAGTGTTACTCTTGGCTATTAAAGGCGTATAAACGAGTGTTCATTTTGGCTATTAAAGGAGAAGAAACTAGTGTTGGTCCTGGCTATTAAAGGCGTATAAACGAGTATTACTCCTAGCTATTAAAGGGGTAGAAACGAGAGTTGCTCCTGACTACTAGTTGAGTAGAAATGAGTGTTACTCCTGACTACTAGTGGAGTAGAAACGAGTGTTACTTCTGGCTATTAAAGGATTAAAGGGGTAGAAACGAGTGTTACTCCTAGCTATTAAAGGGGTAGAAACGAGAGTTGCTCCTGACTACTAGTGGAGTAGAAACGACTGTTACTTCTAGCTATTAAAGGATTAAAGGGGTAGAAACGAGTGTTACTCCTAGCTATTAAAGGGGTAGAAACGAGAGTTGCTCCTGACTACTAGTTGAGTAGAAATGAGTGTTGCTCCTGGGTATTAAAGGAGTAGAAACGGTTGTTATTCCTGGATGTTAAATGAATTAAAAACCAGTGTTATTCCTTGATATTAAAGAGAGTAGAAACGACTGTTACAGATAGGAATAGTATGGCAGATATGCTTGAACGCAGCTGTATTTTTTCTTGTCGGTAATGTATTCTAATCTTTACAAGTAAGAGTACTATTTTTAATTAGCTGTACTTATTACCAGGATGATTTTTATTTTTGATCTAAGTAGGTAGCTTGCTCTGATCAAAAGTTAATATTAAATGTTTTCACTACGATTGACAAGCATGGGTTTTGTGAATTTTGATTTTGTTAAACATACTCAGAGAGTGGATAGGAATTAAACGTACTCAGAGAGTGAACAGGAAGTCACATAACGAAACTCTAAAAAAACGGTTTTGTTTTTACAAGATCAAGTATAAAACTCCGAACATCATCCTACAATCTACTCAGTATTGATAATCACCGACGCGTAAAGCGCCCCCAAACGGAATTCCTTGTGAATTGATAACAAATGTAGCAGTGAAATGAGCAACAGTTCGCCGAAGGTAAAGGTAAAAAAATCTTCCCTTCAAATACATTTTTATACAGAAACCAAATTAATGATGAGCATGACTACCAGTATACTGGCTGAAGGCTTAAAACGCTAAAAATCGGGTTTCGGTACCCGTGTTGGACATAGCACAGAAAGCCCATTATGTAGCTTTGTGCTTAACAACGAACAAACAAAACCAATAGCTACTGAGTGTCTGCGAGACTGTTTATACTATTATTGTTTACAAAACCTTCTTCAGATATCGTAGAATATTAATTGACTGGCTTACCTAAAAAGAATCTCGCTACGTTCTTGAAGATGGTACGTTTTTAGGCGTACGAAATCAGTGACTTTTTCTGTAACAGAAGACCTTCACCACGCAGCTGCAGGGTGTGGACGGAGCGTGCCCTAGTAACCTCAAAAGGACTACTGTTGCACAAGTGAGTAGGTCATCACTGAAATATTGCGTAATTTCCCCTCATTTTTTAAAGAAATGCTAAAAATATAGACTTCTATTTGTTTAAATAGTGGGTGCTTTAGTGGCTATTTCGAGGTTTCTTTTACCTTAAGCTCATTTCGTTTTACGTTGTTTTTAATATAGTATTATATGCTCTACAAATGTAAAACAAAGTAGTGGACAGTATGTTGATCAGCTCGAGATTTAGTTAGCCCAGGAAACAAATTATTATAGCGACACTACCAGTTTCTACTCCCCTGAGGGTATTTATTATTATATGTGTTGGTACAATTGTATTGCGATTTTATATTGACAACCTCGCTTAATATCCATCTTTTCAACAGAGGGTATGTAAACAAACCTTCTTTCATGTTCACTTAACATCCAAAGTTTGCCTGAAATGTTAAAGTATTATTCATACTCATACTCAGGTATCGTTAGACAATACTAAAACAGTTTTATACATTTTTTTAACTGTTTACTTTTAACTGTATTATACTTGAAAGTATTATACAATTTTATTGTATTTCACACTGTTCTGGGTACAATGCTAAAACAGTTTTATACTTTTTTAGATCTTTGCTTTTAATTGTATAATACAATTTTATTGTATTTCGTACTGTTCTGGGTAAAATACTAAAATAGTTTTATACTTTCTTAACCGTTTGCTTCTAACTGTAGTATACTTAAAAGTAATATACAATTTTATTGTATTTCATACTGTTCAATATTAACACAATTTTATACTCTTTAACCGTTTGCTTTTAACTGTATTATACGTAAAACATTATACACTTTTATTGTATTTCGTACTGTTTTGGAACAAGTACTAATATCGTTTTATACATTTTTACCGTTTGTGTTTTAACTGGATTACACCTAAAAGTATTATACAATCTTATAGTATTTCGTACTGTTCTGGATACAATACTAATACAATTTTTGTGCTTTTTTACAGCTTGTTTTCAACTATATTATAACTAGAAGTATAATCGGTGTACATACAAGTTTACTTCAGGATCGCAAACTTCAATATCTTACAATAACCTATAAGGAAATAAAGTAGCTTGTTAATTTATTTTGCCAGTACATACTACAAAATAAACTCATTCATTTAACTCAAGTAAAATGTGTAGAAAACATTTAAAAGTATGCATTTGAGTTCTTGTATTTGGCTATCCAGCTTCAAAATCATTTATCAATGATACCATTAAGTTTCCAAGAAAAACATCCACAAGCTTGTCGGTCAGAATTCGGCTAGTTTTTGAGACATTTCTAGAGCTAAATCACGTGTTTGGTAATTCTTTGGTCACATATATTTGTTGTTGTTTTTGTTGTGTAATGTTATATACCTCTCCGATTAATAATGCTAAACATTTAGATATCGCACTTTGTTTTCAAAACTATTGGTATCAAAGATTTCTTTTAACATTAACTTCAATAATCTTCATCTAAAAAATCAGAAAACATATTTTTTATGTATTTTGTTTGTAATTAGCGTGCTCTATCCATATAAGAATTAAAAAAAAGAAGCTGTATCTAACCTTGGGTGAATATTTTTCTTTTAATCGATTGTTATGGAAAATTAATTTGAAATAGTTCAAGTGCAGTTTTACTTGTGATTCATGTGTAAAGTTCGAACTGTATATATGAATATTCATTGCATTGGTTTAAAAAACGTGTATATACATTTTAATCTAAACTACTTGTCTCCTAAATCTTCGGTTAACTTCAATTTATTTGAATGTTGCCCGGATCTTATCAGAACCATTTTAATTCGACAATTTTTTTTATTTGTTTCTCTTCGTCTCAGTACAAGTTAAGTAAATCTTGTTCTAGAAGTTTCATTAATAATGACGGCATATGCGCTTGCATGCACGTAACAGGTGACCTGAGTCTCAACGCCAGTTTTTCTCGGTAGGCAACATAACCTTTAAGTAGGCCATGGGAACGTGCAAGCCTTAGGCGGTTACGTTTCGAATAACCAATAGCCAAAGACACGCTGAGGTAACAACGACTTTGAATACGTCTAGGCAAAGGCACACACATTCTTCGCCTCATACAACGCTTTCATAATGATGACCTGTTAGCGCGAAAAAAGCATCACGAATATTGTTTAAATTCATAAAGTAAAATATCAGCTGTAAGGAGCAAGAGAAACTACCCCACAGTGAGTCGGTGAAGTTTGTTTTAATACAGGTAAGTTTGTTTAATTCTTTATCTGATAGAAGCAAAGGATTACACTTGTTTCAGAAGCATCATCATCCTCTGTACTGGATTTTTTTAGGTCCGGTTTGGTTGGACCTGGGAGAGTCAGGCACAACTTCGCGACTGCTTTATCGGGATCTAGATCCTTTTCGGGGGAACATTTGGTTTGTTTCGAATTTCGCGCAAAGCTACACGGAAGCTATCTGCGCTAGCCGACCCTGATTTAGGAGTGAAAGATTAGACGCAAGACAGCTAGTTAACACTTCTCATCGCCAACTCTTGGGTTACTCTTTTTACCAGCGAATAGTGAGATTGACCGTGAACATTATAACGCCTCCAACGGCTGTAAGGGCGAGCATGTTCGGTGACGGGGATTCGTAACCGCGACCCTCAGACTGCGAGTCATCCAAACCGTCATTTGGTAGTGAATAGCTGACAAGTCATTAAGCCAATTCATGACTTCTCATTATCTTTTATAATATTTTTTTAAATCGTCTTAAAAGCAAGATTAGGTAAAAGCAGTTCCAGTTATCGTTCAGGGCAGGAGGATTAAAGATATGTCTTGTATTAAAAAATCCTCCCTTAATTCTTCTTATTTTGTCGTGTATAAAAAACACATTTTTATAAAATAGCTGAAACGTAATGATGTATGGACGTTAAAGTTAATAAATTAAGATGTATATAGCGCCGTTATTTAAAGTTATAATGATCAAGCTGACATAGGGGGCGCTTATGTGCTACTCAGTTACTTCCACTAGGAATAGTGTTCTAGATTTTGGTTTGAGTACAGAGTACATTACGAAAATTCAGTAAGAAGTTATTGTCATATTAGATCTTGGTTTGAGTACCGAGTACATTATGATCAGTTATGGAGTTATTGCCGTTCTAGATTTTAGTTTGAGTAAAGAGAGCATTTCGAGAAGTTATTGCCGTTCTAGGTTTTGGGTTGAGTACCGAGTACATTATGATCAGTTATGAAGTTGTTGCCGTTCTATATTTTAGTTACAGAGTACATTTCGAAAAGTTAAGACGTTATTGCCGTTCTAGGTTTTGGTTTGAGTACCGAGTACATTATGATCAGTTATTAAGTTATTGGCCAGAAAAAAGTTTGAGTAGATAATGTATTGTTTGAAATTATCCATGTCAATTTAAAAAAAATAATAGTAAAACGTCATTAGTTAGCAGTTTTATTATGAATATTATCGTCTCTACTCTCTAATGGCTCAGCGGTTAGTTTGACGGAGTATAACGCTAAAATACTATGAAAATATATTACAAATATTACATAATATACAGATTTAAAATAAGAGACAATGTTTTTAGAGCGAAGCTATATTGGGCTATCTGCTGTGTCCACCATAGGGAATCGAACTCCAGATTTGAATGTTGTAAGTACGTAAACTTACCGCTGTTCTACTGGGAGACAGTATAATATACAAGCACAAAGTAAACAATTCTTAAAATTGCCTCAACAATTAGTATTACTTATTTCCTTATAGAGATTTTTTTCCAAAACAACTGACTCGTAACAAGTAACGACTGGGTGTTTTTTTTTAACAATTAACTAGTCAAAACAAATTAATGAGTCCCATTTTAGAGATATCTTGCTTTGATTGTTAGGCTTTATTTCTGGATACAGTAACGCTGTTGAAACATAGTAAAGTCTCTGATTGTCACATACTCTGATAAGGAATACTTAATTTTGACTCTTCATCAACTGTCTTTTAACACCTGCCACACGAGCCAGTCCAGCATCTTGATGTGGAAAAGAAAAAATGAGTCATTCCGGAAATGTTTGGGTTGTTTTGATTAGACAAGAAGACGTTTGTCACTATTTTCAAGGTCTAAGTCTCTGGACCAGACCCGTGACCAGAGACCATGAAAGCCAACATGGAGAAAGTAACTTGTGAATATAAAGTAAAACGATGTAGCAATGGAGCATGCTTGAAATGTTGTAGATGTTGTTGTAAATGTTGTCACTATTTTCAAGGTCTAAGTCTCTGGCCCAGACCCGTGACCAGAGATCATGAAAGCCAACATGGAGAAAACTACGTTCAATCGAAAAATTATAATGTAATTAAAGTAGGTTAAGTATTAACGTACAGCATAACGTACGCATCTTGAATCCTGAAGCTTACAACAGATAGAAATTAGACTGAACAGACAAAACACAATGGTTAAATTTGATATACTCACTGTTAAAGATTATCGCCTCAGTGTGTTTATTCAACTCAGATATAAATTAGGGCTAACTTCACACATATAATCAATAGTGCACTTCGTGTATATAGGTATGAATATAATCTAACAACTTAGCTGAAGTAATAAAGTCCAAAAATTGTTATTTTTCGAAACACGTCACTATACGAGTTTTTTAGACGTCTATATACTACGTGTGTGTGTGTACTTTTTTGTTTGTTTGTTTGTTTTTTTATGGTGTTTCTTTGTTTCAAGGCTGAGAATTTCAATTCCACAAGGGTTTCACATATATGGTAAACTTAAATTATTAATATTGCACCCCAGTGGCACAGCGGAATGTCTGCGGACTTACAACTCTATAAACTGGATTTTGATACTAGTGGTGGGCAGAGTACAGATAGCCCATTGTGTAGTTCTGTGCTTAACTAAAAACAAACAAATATATT